AGAAGAGAGAGAAGAGAGAGGAGAGAAACAACAGATATACGTAAAAAAATGACAAAAAGACAAGAGAGACAAGAAAAGAGCAGGGAGGAAAGAGAGAGAGAGCGAGAGAGGGAGAGGGAAGAGAGAGCGCGTGTGTGGGTGTGATGCTGTTGCGCACGCGCGCTCGTGCGAGCACACGGTTCAAGGTTAAGGGCTTAGGGTCTAATAAATTTTGTTGTCACAGCAATCCCCGAAGCAAGGCCCCAAACAATTTTCCAGTAGTAAGGCCCAGAAGCTCAAGGATTGAAGCATGAGCCCAAATCTCACTAGAAAAAACGTTTCTTTTTCGGGAAACTGTTTGGGGACCATCTAGCGCAGAGGAGGTCCTGGAGTAGAGATACAAACAGGTTCGGCTGGTTCGGGCAAGCCTGACGCCGCCCTCCGTCCCGTCGCTCTCTTTTCTGCGGGCTTGTGACACCACCGAAACTTACAAGACGAGCTATGGGAAAAACTGATTACTAAAAATGAAGACTTGGGAGGGCTGGAGAAGAATCCCGTCTTCTGAGATCTGATAGAACCAATTGATTCACTTCGAGTGCCATCGCTTAGGGAGCTGGATGCTTGGAGGAGTTGCTGGAGGTTCTTGGCCAACCCTCCCTGTGTTGGTATGCGAGTTTCCCAACGTTGCAGGGTAAAGGCAGCGATGCAGATCAGAACCCTGAAGCCTGAAGTGAAAGGCTTAAGCAGTTAAGCATGATGCCCCTGCCCTCTTCTGGAGCTACAGCATGCCTGACACCAGACAGCCACCCAAGTCAAGGAGCTTCAGTCCGTATGTGGGATAGGTCCGAGAGGACCGGCTTTGAAACTCACACGAGCTGCCAGAATAAGCATTCAAGCTGCCATCCCGCTGAAGGGAAAGCCCGTGCCCTGTGGCTCACTGTTGGCTCACTGTGTCTGAGGCTCAGAGGCGAACCTCCCAAGTTGAGACAATTTTGACTACTTGGACACGAAGGGATGGATAGGAGCTATCGGAAATTTCGGCCACTCTCTGCAAGATGCACGTTTCTCCCCGCTTCCCTCCTCCACCTTGAGCTCCAGCACAGCCGACTACCTAGGAAGGCCATCTTTGCTTGCCACGTCTGTTTAAATGGTAAGCCCGTCCGCAGGCCCAAATCATGCACGTGCCCTCTCGCAAAGTTCTACAACCGAGTCTGCGCATTTCATTGACTACCCGGAGGCCCCAAACCCACGAAACTCGTGAACTCCACCAATCACTATACCTTTGATCCCTTGACACCTCAAAACTCTTGAAACCCAAGCCCACGTTGGCCAACCTGAGCCCAAGTCCGTCAACCTTTCTCGGATCGCTGTGGGCCGTCGCAAAGCCTGAAGAACCCTCCATCCGCCAGCATCATGGCCCAAGCCACTGCAAGAAAGGATGCGCCAAGACCTGACAACTTTATTCTGAAGCCCTGCAGGTCACTAGCAGTGGCTCAGAGTCCGTGGCATGTCGGGTGTGACAGGACCCAACAGGACCCAACCGCCTAAGAAGTCTAAGGGCTTTGGTCAAAATTCCATTGCCACCGCCGTCAGAACCCCTTCAGTAGGCCTGGTCGATAGTGGGACGTTCCGCAGGGTTCAGCTTCAGGAGGCTCTTCACCAACTCCTGCGTGAAAGGCGAAGTAGGGTGGCGAGGGCAAAAGGGGCCACAACTCCTGGACTTGTCATGAGTTGTGACGACGTTCGAGAAAGTCTGCTACTTGCACACCTCCCCCCCCCCCCCCCGCGCGAGTGCGAGTGCATGTGAGAAGGGTCACCTGAGCCGCCTGAGCCCCTGGGCCCCAGATGGCCTGCGCCTGCGGGGAGCATTTTGCCAAAGGGGACTGGTCATACTCGGCGTTGACGATCTTGTTCTCGTCCTTGGTAGACTTGGGCTTTGGGTTCAACATGGTTCAACGGTTTCGGGTTCCAAGTGGTTTTCTCACAGTTTCCGCAGTTTGTTCTCAGTGTTTACATGCGTTTACAAGGTCGTTTGTGTGTTGGAGTGAAAGGGCCCGAATCAGGAGAGTCCGGGTCGGAATCCAACTGGATGAGACTGGCAGCAAACGGCTTGATTGGCTGCTTGGCAACAAATGTAGTCACCCTCAAGCAATACATAGTTAATAAATGCTCTAACGACTTGGTCGACCACTACTTGTGAGGGCGGCGCATACACCACGACCTAGCTCCTGCTTCTGAGGGCGGTGCGGGAACATGCCAACAAAGAAAAAGTGCCTACGCTAAGACTAGCACGGGATGCGCACGGACCCTCGGCCACGGTGGAAAGGATATGCAGGCTGCACGAAGGCTTGTGGCTGACCCAAGCGGAGGCCGGCGCAGAGGGTGCAAGCTTGACTGACCCAAGTGGAGGCCGCAGGCAGGGAGGCAGACAAGCATGACGGGCCTCAAGGAATGCAAGAGCCCCGGACCCAGGATTGCTCGCAAGAGAGACCACTTGCATGAAGGCCTCACGGCTCCACCAGCAGAGTCTCCTCCAACTCGACCGGCCCGAGACGGGAGGATCGCTCGGGCATTTTCCCGCTGAAGGGTGATGCCCAAGGCTTGCATCAACTGCTCCGTCTCAACGGCCTCCGCCTCCCCCGTCTTGGCCGCGAGCAACTGCCCAAGAGCCTGCCAAGTCCGCCTAGCCACCGGAGCCCATCCCCCTGAAGCTTCGGCCACCAGCGGCACGAACTGCAAGCCTTCCGAAGTAGTCACCGATGACCTGCTTCGACACAAAGGTCCCGTGGTCAAGATACGCAAACCCCCACAAAAACCCTAATCACATCCTGAAAGGAGTGCGAGGTGGCGCCCCTCCTTAGGGCCGGGAGAGGTCCAGAGAATGCTGCGGAGCTCCAGCATCTTGTGGCTTACATAACGCTCACTGCCAGAACCTACGCCAGATGCATCTTGGGCGCCGAGAATGGCTTGATGCCGGTCAGCATGACATACCTTGCTGAGAAAAGGCGCGCCTCTCTCTCGGACTCACACAGAGACTGAGTGAAACTCTGGACTCTGAAATTTCTGAAGAGCACACTCTCTGAGACTCTGAAAATGGACTCTCAAGAAAGCTCTTAGCGCAGAAAAGCTCTCGCACAAGATCTCTCTTCTTCTCTGAATTGGCCGGCCAAGCGACATGGTGACTCCCAGACTCCAGAGATCCACGGCCTCTCTCTGAGAGAGTGTGGCAGAAAAAGAAAGGAAAGAACAATACAAGCAAAGAGCAGCTTTAATCAAAACAAAGGCTGTCGAGCAGAAAGATTGGAGCACTTTGAACAGTTTTGCTTGGCGAGCGCAGGCTTTTGAAATGACTTTACACAGTACAGACTCGACCGGACGGGGGGTCGGTCCGGGTGGGTCCATCTGCAGGAGTCCAGTTGCTGGGCCTTGGTGAATTCGCGCTTGGGCAGCTCCACGAACCTTGAAAGGTAACTTCACGCAGGCTTCAATTTTTCCAATCCATTCGACACAAGGCCCTGCAATGCGGGGAGCGCGGGGATCCTCACTTGAGGTTGAGACACCCAAGCACTCAGAGGAGAAAGCGCATCCATGAAACCTTGAATCTTGAGCTCAAGCATCAGCCCTAAACGGCCTGAAGGATTCTGAATGGCCTGATCATGCCTGAACTCATTAACTTTTCCAATGGCATCCCAGAGGCTGGACGGTAAAGGGTGCGCTAAGGGCGCCCAGGATCTCCGTGATAGCCGTGACGCCACCCTGCGGTGTCCGCTCAGGTCGAGCAACGTTGAGACGCTTGACACTACGTGGAGCGCATGATCACCTTTCCTAGCTCTGATCTCCTAACGCCACACATGTATCCACAAAGAGAACAGACCAGCTCGATCCCAGACCCCGAATCTCTAAGCCTTCGTTCCAGCGCCAAGCTCGTTGAAGTCCTGCGGACAAGCTAAGAGGTCAGAGAGTTGAGTTGGGGAGTTATATAGGGCTCACATGGGCTCGCACAACGAAAATGCTCACACTCACAGCAGGATGACCGCAGGGTAATGCTCAGGATCACAGGAAGCAAATGCTCACAGCCAGGTGACATCAAGGGAATGCTCACGGCAGGATGCCGGCAAGGAAATGCGCACGGGGATGCCAGCAAGGAAACGCTGACAGCAGGGCGACAGCAAGGAAATGCTCACAGCAGGATGCCAGCAAGGAAATGCTCACGGCAGGATGCCAGCAAGGAAATGCACACCGCAGGATGCCAGCAGGGAAAAATGCTCACAGCGCCTCACGGCAGGATGCCAGGACGTGCTCACAGCGGGGTGCCAGCAAGGAAATACTCACGGCAGGATGCCAGCAAGGAAAGGCTCGTAGCAGGGTGACAGCAAAGACATGCTCACAGCAGGATGCCAGCAAGGAAATGATCACAGCAGGATGCCAGCAAGGACGTGCTCACAGCGGGGTGACAGCAAGAAAATGACAACAGCAAGATGCCAGCAAGGACGTGCTCACAGCAGGGTGACAGCAACGAAATGCTCACAGCAGGGTGACAGCAACGAAATGCTCACAGCAGCATGCCAGCAAGGAAATGCTCACAGCAGGGTGACAGCGACGAAATGCTCACAGCAGTGTGACAGCAAGGTCATGCTCACAGCAGGATGCCAGCAAGGAAATGCTCACAGCAGGATGACAGCAAGGAAATGCTCACAGCAGGATGACAGCAAGAAAATGCTCACAGCAGGATGCCAGCAAGGACGTGCTCACAGCGGGGTGACAGCAAGGAAGTGCTCACAGCAGGGTGACAGCAAGAAAATGCTCACAGCAGGATGCCAGCAAGGACGTCTTCACAGCAGGGTGACAGCAAGGAAGTGCTCACAGCAGGGTGACAGCAACTCACAGCAGGGTGACAGCAACGAAATGCTCACAGCAGGATGCCAGCAAGGAAATGCTCACAGCAGGGTCACAGCAACGAAATGCTCACAGAAGGGTGACAGCAAGGCCATGCTCACAGCAGGATGCCAGCAAGGAAATGCTCACAGCAGAATGACAGCAAGGAAATGCTCACAGCAGGATGACAGCAAGACAATGCTCACAGCAGGATGCCAGCAAGGACGTACTCACAGCAGGATGCCAGCAAGAAAATGCTCACAGCAGGATGCCAGCAAGGACATGCTCACAGCGGGGTGACAGCAAGGAAATGCTCACAGCAGGGTGACAGCAACGACATGCTCACAGCAGGGTGACAGCAACGAAATGCTCACAGCAGGGTGCCTGCAAGGAAATGCTCACAGCAGTGTGACAGCAACGACATGCTCACAGCAGGATGCAAGCAAGGAAATGCTCGCAGCAGGGTGACAGCAACGAAATGCTCACAGCAGGGTGACAGCAAGGTCATGCTCACAACAGGATGCCCGCAAGGAAATGCTCACAGCAGGATGACAGCAAGGAAATGCTCACAGCAGGATGACAGCAAGAAAATGCTCACGGCAGGATGCCAGCAAGGACGTGCTCACAGCGGGGTGACAGCAACGACATGCTCACAGCAGGGTGACAGCAACCAAATGCTCACAGCAGGGTGACGGCAACGAACTGCTCACAGCAGGATGCCAGCAAGGAAATGCTCACAGCAGGATGACAGCAAGAAAATGCTCACAGCAGGATGCCAGCAAGGACGTGCTCACAGCGGGGTGACAGCAACGAAATGCTCACAGCAGGGTGACAGCAACCAAATGCTCACAGCAGGGTGACAGCAACGAAATGCTCAGCAGGATGCCAGCAAGGAAATGCTCACTTAGGAGGGGGAAGGGTCTGACAGTATATAGGTTCCTTGATCCTCACTAAAAATGAGCTTCAGCTGCCCTGTCAAGGCTCTCCTTGACAAAGGGCATCTCCAGGATCTCCTGGCCGTTGATGTGAGAGATGGCCCAGCCATCACCCACCTTGACATGGACTGAGCCCAATTTCAGCGGCCCCTCAAGAATTTTGTCACACCTTGGAAGCGCCATGAAAGACAAGAACGCGGATCAGCAACGCCAAGTTACGTTGTAGCCCGCGGCCTGGCCCCCTGGCTCGATGCCATTGACCATGGCACCCTTGCCATCCTGCTCCAAAGGTGCCCAAGGCTGGGGCGCTCAGAAAACAGCCCAATAGGCGAGGACTTCGGGGGTTCAACGATCCAGCGCTTCTTCAAAGGTTTCAAGGGTTCCGTTGGGGGAGGGAGCTGCAAGTTCAGGATCAGCCACGGTGAGCTAGAAGCGAAGTCTCGAGCACATCATACAATCATCCTACATGCAGACAAACAAATGTTTCGCAGCTCACAAGCCTGTGGTGGGAAAGGACGGCTATGACGGCTACAGAGGAAGCTACCTCTTAGCTGCGACCACAGGCACGGGTCGCTGCGTGACGATGCCGAAGCCCGGGCTCTGCTGCGCTGGAGGCCTGAGAGATCAAGGACGTAGGACTTGGGGATCGAAATCTCCCTGCATGCTGCACGATTCACTGCATGTAAATGATGCCAGCAGCGGGACAAGGATGCCTAAGTGCCTGATGTTCATCATGAGAGGGCGCTGTTCATTCCTACAGAGCTTTCGGCAAATATGCACCTCAACCAGTACTTCGGTCTTGTGCTCAGCAATCCCTTCAGAGTAAACAAAACTCCAGCGGCTGCCAGCGTAGGCTACGTTACACGATACAATCCTTTCGTGAATGGCTAGAGTACACCATCGCCCGAAGAGCCGCCCCGAACGGCAGCCAGGGCGCTGAAAGGTGTAGGGGCCATGCGTAGGCAGGTTCACGCCCTTCGGGGCAATCCTCAGATCAAGGGCGCAGTGGGAGAGAGGGAAAGGCTTTGGGCGTGCACTTTGACCAAGCGTTGCCAGAAGATCTGCGGTCATGAGTCATGGCCCATCATTGTCCCAGATCAAGACCCTGAGACCGGCCTTTTCCCCCATCCCGCCCCACCCACCCCCCAGCTGGAGCCCCTCGGTCGACTTTGCCACTTTGCGTACGTCGCAGTGATCCTGACTGATCCTTCACACCTTCACAACATCACCAAACTCCTTGCCGAGGAACATCATCTTGGCACCCACGAGCTCCGGTGCCATGATTTCCTGGGGACTGAAACGTGCTGCGACAAACCGACGAATGGAGCAGGATGCGTCTACAGATCACATTGCCACCAGCAACAGTCGGGACTGGAATCTGAAGCTGCAACAGTTTTCCAATTTTCCCATGCTCTTCAACTCTCACTTTTGGCTTTCATATTCATCATCAACTCCGGTCTTTGAAAGCTCCACCTCCTTTCAAATCACGAACGTGAGCAGGAATCGCTGATCGGGCATCTTTTGCATGCTGGCATGCACGATGGCTCAAAATACGCATCTCGAGTCGTTGCTCACCTGAAGCACGAAATCACTTGCGAGACTGTGTCGAGACTGTGCCGAGCCACGGTGGTGCCGACGCAGCTTCGAGCCACAGTGCCAGAAAGGCTCCTTGGCTGTCTGAGGCTGAGGGGTCCAGGGTGTAGGGGGTGAAGGTACGGGAACCGAAGGCTGCAAGAAGGCCTTCGGCAGGGCTTCGGGAGCGCACGTCGTTTGATCGCTTGCAGTGCTTTAGCCACCTTTTCTGGGCCAGGCAAAGGGGCTTTGCCACGCCAAAGTCAATCAGCTTGACCTCGGCACTTCAAAAAAGACCAGCTCCTTTTCGGAACTGGGCACATCCGGGTGTCCCGCTTGTGCCCGGGCCCCGAGAATACCCTGAAAGCACCACCGGCAACAAAATCAAAGCCCCACGGCACGCACACCGGGCCGGATCTAGATGATGAGCCTTTGCATGGTCTCTTGTATAGCTCGTGTATAACGTACAAAAACAAAGGGGGAGGCAGCCCGACATACTTCTTGTAGAGCGAATGTAGAGCCGGACAAGCAGGACAAACCGAAACATGCAGTGGTCGTGCCAAAATCTAGGGTCCTTGTTTGGAACCAAGAATCTACCGTCATTGATAGGAACCGAAAGCGGAACAACCCGCATGCACTGCTTAAGTGTACGGGGGCTTGGGCAAACCTAGTATTGTCGGCACGATGGTGGAGAGGAGGCCCCGACCCCACCCGCAAACCCAGCGAATCGACATTCTGAGCTGTCTCGATCTCATCATGTTTGCAATCGAGGGTGCAATTTTAGTCCCAGAAGATGTGTACTGCTGCAAATCATTCAAACTGTTCTGTCGGGAAGAAGAATTCGTAACCGAATACTCGTTCTGAACCGGGAAAAATTGCAACGTTAGCCGCCCCATATCACCCTATTGTTCATGTGGGCGTACCGGAGCGATCATTTTCATTGACCAGGGGGACCAAATGTGGAACGCAGTTAAAATGCAATCTGCATGTCAAGTAGATCTTGGTCATCGGGTAGATTTAGGATGCTGACCGGCTGGGTGTTTTCATGTTTCGCATGAGATGAAGACCTTGGGGTGTGTGGGGGCGTGTCGGAGTTAACTCGCCTGGAGGCTTGAATCTGTCCAGAGTTAAATAACCATTTTGCAGAATGACTTTCGTTGGCCAGCGCATATTGCAAGGCTCACTGCCCCCCTTGCTTCTATTCGAATTGAGAATGCACGTGGCATCAAAACAGACCTGTTACACACCCAGACACTTTGGAGCATGTCATTAATTCTGGTCCTTGCGGAGGCGTGTCATGCAAACACATGCAAGATCATGCACGCAAGCGCTTCATCACGTAGGCAACGTATTGACCCCAAGTGCTTCAACACCGAGAGGGATCCAAGCAAAGAGTACAACTTGTTGGCACATTTCTGGGCCGGTCACGGGTGTCTGCGCGGTAAGCTGCTGGCTGCAGACCTTACGGGGCTTGCTTGCAGCAGTCGTGGGGTAGACAACTCTTGCAGCTGGCTCTGAAGCCGAGCTGCCAAGATGTTCTCGGCCTTGAGGTCTCGGTGGACAATGTCCTTCTCCTGCGGACTGGGGTTTAGGGGCTTAGGGGCTTAGGGGGTCTTGCCCAGCATCAGCATAACCAATTCAGCCTCGCCCCACTACTCAGTACTCCAAGCGTATTTGTAGGGTCCTGGCTTCCCCAAACAACCCCACACCCCTTGCCACGGTGCCCCCACTGGGCAGAGTCCCCCAGCAGCCCTCTTCAAAAGCAAGCGGCATGGATGAACTTCAGGCCCATGGCAGTCTGCTTGGTAACGCTCTTCACGACATCCTGGAGCCCGGGCTGCGGCTTCAGTTCGGGTCTCTTGGCCCCGTGGTTTCATCTGTCCAAGCCGGAGCCCTCTATTTCTCATGGAGTACGTCCGGAAACCCTAAAGCCTAAAGCCGAGTCAAGCCTCAAGCTATTTCAACTGCCCCAAAGAAGCTCCTCTGGGAGGCAGCTCTGCCCATCTTTGATGTAGCCTCGGGAGGTCGGGAGATGTCGAGACCTGCCCCGGGCCTTCAGACCCACGTCGAAGCTACGGATAGGTCGATTAAGACAAAATATTGCATGGCACAAGAAAGCTGTAGAACGCATATGAAGCGCATGAAGCGAACTGAAGCAAACACTAATTGAAGCTCTTAGCCACGGCCTGAAGCTCTTGAGGCTTGGATTCACTGGATGCTAATGGAATCACTTCGAGTTTCTATGTGTTTCTGTTGTGTCTGGGCCGTTGTTGCTCATCGCGCTTGAGAATCCCGAAGCCGTGCTACCATGAGACTTGCAAGCTCTCCGCCGTCGACGAGCTCCATGACAATCATGATATACTGTGCCTCTTGGTGCAGGAACTTTCGCAAACCCTTCCTCTTCCCTAGTCCAGAGCACGCAAGGGCGAAACACTCCTTAAACACCCACCAAATGATTGAGCTCTTTTGGCAACTGTCGGTCGGGCCTGTGTAGTGCCTGGCCGGAAGGCATCGAAGCACCCCAGGCACCCGCAGATGTTGGGGTGGCCCTGGATTTTCATCAGCACCTCCGAAGGTCGGGGAGTCCCTTTCAAGCCTTTGCTGAAGGCCACACTGAGGCCTCAAGGGGTCTCAGGCGGGGCTTAGGTGATGGCGTGTGAAAGTGAAGCTTTGGGCTTTGGGCTTTGGGCAGTGGGGCAGTTGGGCAGCTGGGACCTCGGTCTCCTTCCGGATGTCAGCGATCTTCTCGTCGCAGGATGGGTCCTTCGCGGGCTCTCGAAAACTCAGCAAGTTCGTGAGTTCGTGAGGCCTTGGACTTCACTTGCACAGAAGCATCGTCAAACATCGTCAAGTGTTTCTTTCAATAGACAACCCGACCGCTCCATCAGCAGGCGCCAAATAGGGATGGTCTTCACAGCATGCTTCACGTTGGGAGTGCTCCTTGGAGGGCCGGCCCACGAAGCCAAGCACAACTGCAAACAACTGCAAACAACTGCTCACAACTGCTTGCAGCCGGCTAGAACTGTCCTAGACTGCGGAACTACCTGAGGGCCCAAAAGCCGACAATCCCTCCATCTGAGGCATCGGTTTGGCGCCAAAGCTTTAGAGGAGGGCGGCTCCTTCTTTAGGGACACTTTCCATCCAAGCCACTGCTTGTGGCACAGGTAGACAGTTCCCTGCCCGCCGACGCCCAACACTTTGTCTGTCTCGATGACGAAGGGATCCTCCCGAAGTCTGAAGCACTTCGCACCCTGAGCCTGAGCCACCTCGGAATGCACTAAACCCCCGCAACCTCGCCCTCCCGGCCCCCCCCCCCGAAGACTTATTCAAACCCCGTTGTCGACTTGAAGACGACTTATAGCTTACAGATGCTTACAGATGCTTTTTCAGAATCTTGCAGGCTTTGGCCATCTTTCGCCTCTGGCGGGCCGAAGATCTTGAACTGCTCAATGGAGCCGAGCGCCTTCAACCGGGGGTTGTCGTGACAGACTTCGATGGCGCATTGAAAAGGCTGCGTGCTTCACTGAGCATGTCCGTGGAAGAAGGAACGGCGCAAAGCGCTTCGTGATAGATTGCAAATAAAGAGGCTGCCCTTCATTTTTCGAAGGTCCGCAAAGCATCCTAGTTGACCGTTAACTTCGGGCGTGGGGTGTGCAAGCCGCAGCAGCGCAACAGTTACAAGCCTCGACCAAACTAGGGTTAAGGGATTTCATGGTGTTTATGGCTTCGTGAAAAGAAACGGCGCCTTGGTGGCAACGCGGGCACCGCGGGCAGCGCGCTTCTGGCATGGATGTTCACATGCACGTTCACATGGATGTTCACAGGGATGTTCGCTTGCTTGGCTGGGGAAGCAGGAGGAAGGAGCGAATTGCAGAGTTGAGAAGTCTCCCACCTTGACCAAACTCCAAGACCAGTCACGAAACCCCGACACAACCCTGGGGCCAGGCTTCGGACCCATTCCAGGAGTCCATCGGCATGAGCACGTGAACATACGGGAAGCCAAGCCCGACCAGGCAAATCACCCAAAACTTCCCAAAATCATCCGACATCACCCACATCCCTCCCTCGATGCCTCGGCGCCCGCCCGGCGTGCCAGCGAGGCGCCCAGGCACAGCGCAGCGGCACCGACAGCAGCCACTCCGGAGCCCTGATGACCTGCCAAAGGACAATTGAGGCGCACTGCAAAACATAGATACATAATTGCAAGAACTTCCACTACACCCTACACACCGCTGGCACAATGCCCTGCAATGACCTGCCAACGAAGGTGCCCTTTGGCACTATGGCCATAGTGGTCTGATCATGCATGGCTCATCATGCTCTGGCTTGAAATACGAGGCTCGCAACGTGCAGGCCTACGTGTTTTGTCTTGTCAAAAGATGCAGAATGAGGGATGTTCCGCTTTGGGGAGGCTGTGCATTTGGGGATGCTTGTGTTGAGGACGTGTTCATGGGAGGTTCGCCTTCCCCAATTGCGCCTTGGCTTGGGGCCTCTGCACCACGCAGGGCAGGGGTACCCTGCACTTGGCCCAGGGCAGCCACAGACCTCTGAGGAGCAATTCAAGTCTGCTTGGGGAGGCTCTTCAGGCCTCTCTGTGTTGAATATTGCGAAATCCCAGATCAAGCTGAGCAGTTGAGGTTTAATCACAGCCAGGCGTCTGGGCAGGGGTCTGAACGAAGGTCACCTTGGCTGTCAGGGGAGCTTGAACCATAGCCAAACCCATTCAAGAGCATACTTGCGTCAGTCGCCTACACTCCTGCAGCAGTCAGATCAGTGTAGCACCATGCCGGGAACCAAGCGACCAGAAAGCCTACGGAAGTCCGGCAACAACACCCTGCCACCAGTGTCTTACGAGCTGCGCTCATGGCGGGTGCTGAATGAACCAGCGTCGCAAGCAAACCTCGAACAGCTCGAACCAAAATTTCTGCAGCAAACGCATCAGATTCCGAAGCCAGGATCGGTGCGCAGGGGATTTCATATGGCGTTGAGGTGTTGGCTCTGTTGGCTTCTGAAGGGTCTGCGAGTCTACAGTCTACATATCCGTGAGACCTTAGCGACTTAGTGCGAGAGAAAGAAGCTAGGCAGCTAGGTTCGGAGCAGAGTTGTGATTCCTCACCTCTGTCTTCGCACATTGATGCAGTGAATCAGATCCATTCAGGGACTGTTCAGACGGTCTTAGCCATGCGCAATTTCAGACTGTGTCTTTGGACTCGCCGGTTGTCCGGACCTGCCTGGTGAAACGTGCGCTTTAAGCAGGAGGTGCGAAAACGAAGCCAAGCAACCTACGCTCTCTCCACGATTGCGGAATGCCTTCCTTCCTAGAGCTTCTGTGACTCAAGCCTGAATTTCTACTCCCAACCGAAGACACTCAAGATCACCCAAGCAACCAACAAACGACCAACATCCAAAAAAGATTCCCAAGCCATGGCAGGAAGAGGAAAATGTTCCCAAACCCCGAAGCCGCCGATCCAGCACCAAAACCCTTATTATTCTGCACATTAAGCTCAGCGCTGACATGCTAAAAAGAAACGAAGAAACCTTTTCGTATGAAGGCATAGGGACAATACCGTTAGATACAACATGGTAAAGCCCACTTGCCTCCTTCATATGCATACTCAAGCGCATTGCTTGGCGTGCGCTCTACCACATGGCTCAGGCGAAGCTCACCTGGTTCCGATTCGCTCGAACTCCCGCCGGAATTCTCTCTTCTGACGGATTCTGACGGCTGCGTGCTGCTTCTAATTAGGACCTAGGCTCCACAGAATCTTCACACCTGAAGAAGAGAGGAGTCCGGAAATGAATTATCACGCGGCGACGTTGGAGTTTAAAACAAAGAAACCGCGTTAACATAACAACCTGATACTGGCATTGTCTTCCATGAAGGGCCGAAAAGTGCTTCAACGCAAACAGGCAAGCTCTAGCGGAGGTATCCCTTCACCTGCACTATGCCTCTCTGCCCGGGACCCTTGCAGCCTGTACTGAAGCAGCCTGTACTGAAGCTCTTGCTCAAGCCGGTCTGAAGTCAGCTCATGGCTCTGCGAGAGCACGCAGGCGTAGCTGAAGCACTCAGGAATCTGCATCTGGCCTGAGGGAGGAGTTGTGGGCTCAAAGCTGGTGCACGAAAGGAGGTCTGATGAAGTGGGGGATGGGTCACGTGATGAAGCGGCCAGGGCAGGTATTTCGTGCAAAAAAAACACTGCTGCACAGCTGATCGCCATCCTCTCACCTCTCACCTAACTTCGGCATACTCCTCATGAAGATGAAACTCATCGATGGACACTAAGCTCGACATATTAGCCGCCAAACACCTTGTTGATCAACATTCAAAAACATGTAACTCGCATGAGCTCACTTCAAAATCAGTCTGCTCTCTCGAAAGAAACCGGCACACATCCTTTAAGCAAGATGAAAAGCATAATGTGGTGCTCTTGGCTCATGTTTCCTTGGCCCCCTGACAGGACCAGGGGCATGTCGTAGGGGTCTTCCGGAGGAACCCCCTCCAAGAGCTGCTGCGCGTACTCCTCGAGAGACCAGAAAGTCAGATGATCCAGGCGTGTCAGGATAGTTCAGAAACATACAACGTTGTTTGCAGAACCCTCATGTTCAACAAACCCGGATTCAGGGTCAGACACATACGCCTGAATGCATGCATCCTAAGCTCGTCACGAGCTCGCTGGCGTGTATTACTCAAGCTCATCGCCACATGTCCTACACAACTGAACTAGTGCCTGCATCCGCCATCAAGTTGCGAAACATTCAGAGACAAGGCAAAGCTGTGGCATCTACTAACGAGTAGAGGCCACGAGGACAGGAACTTCGGAATTTTGAAGTAGGTATCTGAGGCTTAGATGTAAACATTATGTGAAAAACATATGAGTATCACATAGTATAATTATGCCACATGCCATCTGCCATATGTTCTCTCAACGTTTCTCTCAAAGTTCTCTCGCAGTTCTCTCGCGCCTCCGAGAGGAGCTGAGGGGCGAGGCGGTCGGCCAAGGCGTGGTGGTTCCGAGGGGCGCAGGTGGCCTCTCTGCAAATAAGCAAGAGAGAGACGTGAAGAGCGGCTCTGACGGCATATCATAAATTGCAAAGAAGCCGTGGATTTCCGAATCAGGCTCTGCACAGGAGACATGCCAGTTTGAGCAGCATTCCGCTGAGCTTTATGGGTCTTTGTGCATCGCTTGTCCCGTTCGAAAATTGGCGCTCGGCACGAGACCAAGACTCAGCACCCTGCACCCTGAAAGTCGCAAAAAGAATCCGCAAGAATCCGCAAAACGCGTAAGATATCGTCAGACTGCAAGACGTCAGTTTCATGGAAGATTCCGCAAGAATCGTAAAATACACGTCAGAGGCTGTCCCTGCACTTCCGCCGAGATCAAGGATTGCTTTCAGTTCTGCCCTCTCTTGCGCGGAAGACCTGCTTCGTCTCCCCAGGTCCAAGAGTCAGCACAGTCAACGAGCAATGAAACCAAGTTTTGGTGGGGGCCGGAGCGAGCTTCCAAGACCAAGAACCCAGCCCCAGAAATCCTGGGATGAAACGCAAAAGTGATCCTTATCAAGACATACTAAGCCCATATTCAGAATCGATTCAGACCCTGGCCCATTTTGCCCCGAAGTAGCACTGGCCTTGTGCCCGGCACAGAAGAAGATCCCCTCCCCGGATACGAAGACGTCGATCTGGGCCAGTGGGCGTTTTCTGCTGAAGGATTTGAAGATCTTCAGTTTGTTGAGAAAGGCCGAGGGCCCATGGCTGAGCACCTCACTGGCTCTTTGGCTGTCGTGGCCTTCCAGTCCTGGGTGCGGGTCGCAGGTTCCGGGGCTTTGCGGGTTAATCGTGCTTTCGCCTAGGGGAGGTGGGTGCTTTGCACGCTGCAATCGGGGGGCGAACACGTGGTGGGGACATACTTTATGATTTTATGCACTTTCCTCTCTCTCCTAAATTCTTTCACACGGCTTCGCTTCGTGCTGTACGGATCTGTTCGAAATCTCGTGCCTCCTGTGCTCGACTTTTGGGCCGCGGGCGATCCGACGCGTCGCATTCGGATCTTGAAATTTTCTCATTGCTGGGAGCGTACGCAGGATGTCGCATCCCTAGGCCACTGGTTTCGCGTCAGGAGGCCTACAGCTTGATCCCCGAAATAGAACATGATAGAACAACAGCACTTGTTTAGACTAGCCAATGACCTGCATGCACGAACGCCCGAAATCCGCACAGCGGACATCCATTGGCGAAGTTTGTTCTTTTCGTAGAGGAAGCAAGCATGGGCGGAGAAGCATTTCTGAATGACTCTCCCTTCAATCCTGCACCTGGCATATCATGGCGGGTGATGATGTCAACGCTTTTTGTTGCTTGAGTTGGAATTATTTTACGAAACGTTTTGAGGCCACGCTATTCACAAAATACAGTGTAAATTTGACTGAAAGCGGTGGATTGTGATGATAAAAATGCGCTGAGCGCGACTGGGTTGCGATTAAACATCAAGTCAATACAACGAACTTGATCTTTGACGCTTGCATGCAGCTCACAGGGTTTAGGCGGGGCGCTCACGCGGGCTACGGCTCACACGATCCCTGCGAGTTGTCGAAAAGAAAGCGCTGACCTGGCCATTCCGATGCTGCCCAAAACCCCCTTAGAAGCTCAGAAGCACTCAACCCATACCACAACACCCATGACACATGGCGCCCAAAACCGTCCCAAGACCCCCATTCACCCTTCAGTGGCAAATACATCATGCTTTGAGCATGGAGCACCTGAATGAAAGCTTTCTAGAGAGTTTGAGGTCACTGTCGGGTTTGGAACACCAGACTCAGGGAGTTCTGTCCAAAGCCACGACAGCTGTGCACTTCACAAGGAGCGACCAAGGTGGGAGCGAGATTATGATCATAAACGGATGTACAGCACGATTCTAGCAAAAATTGTACGCAGTAAAACTGGCGAAAGCGCTGAACTGGGATTCGGCTCTGCATGTTAAGCAGAGTTAGGTCCTAAGCCGCTTCGGCCCAGCAGCTGGGTGGCAGCCCACTCGTCGCTGGATGATGGAGTGGTAGTCCTGCTGTCAACCCATCTTCACGCTTCGTGGCATTGCGTGGCTTGAAACCGATTCGGGCCCAGAGTCCCATTGCATACCACATACACACGCATACACCACAAGGTTTCTTGGGGCGCAGGCCGTCCACCGTGAAACAGCACGGCAAGCGCCGCCCACGAGTGTGGTCACCTCGAGTGGCTGTGGCTCTTCACGCGAAAGCCTAGCTCAGCACTTTTTCGAGGGTCCCAAAATGTCCTAAAGCACAAGGCCTGAAGTCCCCCGAACACATGCCATGGGGCGGTCTTCTTCTTGAGATAGAGCTCGATGTAGCGGATCCTGTGCCAAAGGACTGTAGGCTATGTTTATCATGCTGCGGTTCTGCTTTTGGAAAGACAACCCAGAAAGACTCAAGCCTTCGGAAGTTGTCCAACACGAACAAATGCAGGCCTCTCGGAGGCGCAAGATCAGTGCAAGCTTGCAGCTCAGACGCAGCTCAGAGCAGCAGAGTACGGAATGCGAAGAAGCCAAAAAAAAATGCCAGTGGCACTGTGCCTTCAGAATCCATGCCCAGGCCCGAAGGCTCATCGAATTGAGCTTCCTGTCCAGGCCTCACTCCAAGGGACAAAAGCCTGCGCGACAAACGCTCGAGATCGACACTTCAAAGGTATGCCCGCAAAGTTCTTGAAACCCTGGAGCCCTCAACTTGGCGCATCACCCGTCCCTCCAACCTCGGGTATCTTTGGAGCCTGCGGACACGGCATCAGTTCTCAGAAGGGTTACACTGTGTGACTTCACGGGGCCACTGCATTCCAATGAGCTCAGATGCTCTGCTTCTCACCCGCACACAGGACATTGCAGGGCTCGTGTCCTGCGATCGTTGCGACGCGTCCCGAGTCGTAGTTCAAGACGCGAATGCAGTGGTTGCCACCTCGGCTTGAAACAATACTTAAAGAGTCTTGAGGTTTGGGGACTACAGTAGTCTTTTTGCATTCGAGTGTGATAGATTAACAGAACAAGTTCGGGCCGCTTACATCAAGCCTCACCTTATCCAGGCGAACATGGGTTGGCGTGCTGGGCTCCCTGGAGTGCCCACCTTCAGAGAAGCCCACAATCCCACGGAGTATCCCTGAAGTGCTCACCCCTGAAGAAGCGTGCATAGAGTTTCGCAATTTGGAAATTCAGAGAAGCCCGCAGAGTTTCGCCGAGTATGCGATGCCTGACGCACAGAAGCCTGCTGAAACTTCCTGAGTCCCTGAGCAGCTTGGGTTTAGCCATCCAAAGACTCCCACCACATTTCCTAAGGTAATGACCTGGTCATGCCTGCAAAGGTCTGTTACTTCCCTGCAGACCTAGATATGGTAACAGACATGGAAACAGCAGCGACACAAGAATGAAAGCATGCCAAAACCCAAGAGCAGGAAGACCCGACAAAACGTGGAATCCTAACTCAACTCTGCCTGCTACCTTTCTCATCAAGCCCCTTGTGGGTCTAAGTAGGATTCATTTATCAGATTCGTTCGGGTAAGAAGGAGAGCGAGGGTACTGTAAACCCCGACAGCCCACTGCCGCTGGGCCGCTATCTGCCACGTAGAGGCGCAGCGGCTGCGCGCACGTGAGAGGGTTTGTTGCAGAGCCAGGCGTTTTGGCTTAGGGCTAGATCAACAGCAATGCTACCAGTTAACAGAGAAATCTTCAGACTTGCAGATACCAGTAGTCAAACGGTAGCAAAATTTAGAAAGACCGCATGGACACCGGAAATCGCCACATCATGCCGAATCTTCTCGCTGGAACCCCCTGCTACCCCGGCGGGCCCTTCGGGGGTCCATGGTGATGACGATGCCCTTGGGGCTGTTGAAGCGCGCCTGCAATTTCAAATTACTGGCCATGTGCCACGAGCCTTCTGCAACACACTCAGTCTGGGCAAGGATGCCTTCAGTCGACTGCCATCCACATGGCCTGAGAGCCCCCGTGCGCCAGCATATTCCTCGCCAAACACTGGATGCTGGGGGCTGCTGCAGTCAGGGCAGGTCCTCGGGAAACTTGGGGCAGCGAGAACAACCCTTGGCCGGTGCAGCGTTGACTTGCTTGCCTTACAACAGACCACATGCAGCACGATCACTGCGAAAGAAACCGCCGCTGGCTTGACTTACCCATGCGGAAACCACAACCTTAAACCTCAAACCATCTTAAACCCCTCTCCGTGTAGAAGGCGGGCCAGCTCACATAGCGGCTGGTAGCCTTCACCAGCACCACCTAGCATGCAGCATGCAGTGGTTCCGGAAGACACGGTGTCCGAACGTGGCTGCCCTCGACATGTGTTCAGACGGTGAAATTTGAAATTCATGAATGGCCCGTAACGCATAACATGGCGGCCTGGTGCTGGCGCTGATCTGACAGCCAAATCCTGAGCGAGGATTCTCCGGCGAGGCATAAAAACTACCCAGTCCAACTCGAGCACAGCCTGCGTCACGAGTTGACGCCTCTCTTGCGACAAGAGAAAAAGATCGCTGCAATTGCCAGAGGCTCTGCGACCTGACCTGCCTGCTTAGCTTCAACTATACACCGGACTCCTACAGCAACACGAGACGCTTCAAGTGCTACGCCGCTACGCTTCACTTCGCACCATTCAGCGTTGTTGTGAAGAAAAATGGTGCGACAACGGCAGGACATCCCACAACGTTCAAAATGAAGCCATCGCACGCACGTCAACCAAAGAACAGCAAGGAAGGAATGAAGCCCCTGAGTAGATGAGACGCAGACTGCCCCTGCCGGTCCACCACCGCATTGGACGGCCACAAGACCTAGCAAGACTGGAAACGTGCTCGTCTTGTGATGCGAACCAGTTGGGGCTCAGGCTTCATCTAATTTCTACAGAAGCTGCGATTGACAGACGTGAACCGGTTGGCAGCAAACACTGCTCCCTCCGGCTTCGAAATCCGAAGCCGATCCCCATTCTCCAAGGCCTCGATGTACTGGTCGAAGCGCCCTGCGTTTCAGGTCTGTTTACAACCAGCACTGAACGAAACCTCATTGTCGCTCCAGCCATTGCCATTGCTTGCTGGCATTTGGGCAGATTGGGCAGATTGGGTCACAGTGGCGTTTCCCCACAAGTCGTAGACGTATTCTAGTTGAGCCGGGCCCTGGTGGTTATGGGTCGTCGATTTTGATTTGGTCTACGTTCGCCTTCTGAGTCTATGATGCCTATGATGCCTATGATGCCTATGATGCCTATGATGCCTATGATGCCGAAAAATCCTATGGATGCCTGATGTACCTGTGATGCCTGTGATTGCCCGAGAGATATTGCTATGAAGGCATTCTAGCACACTGTACACTGACATTTAGCAGAGAACTTTCGGACGGGTGGGAGTAGGGCTGATAGCACTGAAGCCCCCAATCAACAGAATTCTACACAAATGTACACAGCAAAGCGTTAGCGCTGCGGGTTCCTAGGCCCTAGACCCTCAGTCCCCGGCGATCAGGCGTCGTCCGGTTGTGCTCCAACACACGAGAGCCCAGGTAGCCGCTGGCCTCAACTCAACGGAACTCGGGTTTAGGCTCACAAGTCCCTTCGCAACAAGATCAGCTCAACAAGGACATAGGATTAAGAAATCAGACCGGACGACGCGAACTCGTTGCAAAGGACCAACCGAGTACACAACAACCAAACTCCCCTGAGGTTCGGTTTGGACACATGTGCTATCCCAGCGCGAGGAGGCAGAGCACTTGCAAGTGCAGCAAGCATAGCAAGCACAGCTGAGCACAACTGCGCAGTCTTAAAGCAAAAAAGCGCGATTCTGCACTTTTGCCTGGTAGTAGCGGTTCTGGAAGCCTGGCCTGGGCCCGGAGCTGCGGTGAAGACTTCGCTTTTTTTCTCGGGGCTTTGGTGGCACAATGTGGCACAATGTGGCACAATGTGGCACAATGTGGCACAATGTGGCACACATAGAGGGAGAAAGCAAGGACTGCAGTGACTACAGACAACTACCGACTGCAGGATGCCATGATGCCAGGAGGCCTCCATTAAAAAAAAAAAAAAAAAAAAAAAAAAAAACTTTTCCTCAACTTCGGGGTAAAAGGCGCATGAGGTGCCTTTTGCCTTCCAGACTTCTGGGAGCACAGGGGTCGCTGGAGGCTGTTACTGGGTTTACTAGGCTCAACTAACTCTGCCAAATGTGAGGTCCTCTGAGGTGCCCGCTGCTGAAAGCCTTTGCCGAAAGCGAAAGGCTGAGGAGGAATTACAGGAATAGTGGCGTAGTGCCAGCATGCTGCTTACTGACTTACAGTTCACTGAGCGGTACACGCATGGTTGTCGGGGCGATTCTCCACATCTGACTTCTTTGCATGCTGAACCCATGCCAATCACTTCAAAACCACGATACGTGAAACTACCAGGTGGCTCAAGACTGGCCTGAGATGATTGTGCAAGTAACAACCAGCGAAGGACCAGGAAAGTTGGCTTCCATGTCACCCACGGTGCAATTGAGGGATCGCTGCTGGCTTCGGCAGGATCACGCTATTTTGAGCACCAGTGTCCACAGCATCAGCCAGAGTTCATCGTTCAAGCTAAAAAACACTACGAAGCCGCGTCATGCCGAAGAGCATCCTGTTTCAGAAGTATGCTTGCATGTCCAGCACATCCATTCCTTGGACTGAATAACGCACGTTGCGTGCAATATCACTTCAACCCGGGCACCAAGCCCATCTCAACCATGAAAACAACAAAAAAACCCCAAGCAAAGATACCCGAAGAATCCTCGAAATTCCGGTAGCTGGAACTTGAAACCCTGCTGTGGTTCCCGTGCTCACCGGAGCTCCGGGGCCAGTTTGCGCGAAGGCCTCCAGGTGGTGCTCGTATGCTCTGGAGCCGTTTGGGGACCGAGGGCTAGACTGGGCACTTTGGGCTTCTGGAAAACAGTGTGCCTTGGTACGGCAGGGTCCTTAACAATGAAGCGGGCCGATGGAACCTTCGGGAGTCTCAGCAGTTTGCCCTCAAGTACCCACGCGTATCCACTGTCACTCGCTCTCACATATCTCACGCGCTCTACCCGAGCATCTTCCGTGACTCAGGAACCGTTTAGAAACGAAAGTCGAGGCGGTCCGCGTAGTGCTAATTTCTGTTAAGCTGACTTGGCACCGAATTCATCAAGAGTCTTCAAAAATGCCATCTCGTATTTGGATAGGTTGGTTTGTATGTGTTTCACATGTTGGCTCTATTCTGCCAGCGTAGACCCCAAACAGTGAGAGACCATTGGAAAGTGCACCCCAAGAACCCTAATGCACCCCAAGAACCCTAACCCCAAGAAGCCAGACTTGTGGGGGACAGGCAGGGAACGAAAGCTAGTGAGGTGCTTCTAATGCACAAGAGGCATGAACCCGCGCAAGCCTTGCACACAGCCCTTGCGGATTGCTACTTGTTTTGCTCCTCCCCGAACCTCCATGCAGGCACATGGCGCCTTGAGGACCTCAAAAACGTATCGGCTGGCCACCGAAGCCAGGTGGGGGGCGACCCCAATTTGCACACACCCTGGCTGGACCCCCTCGCCACACCCCTGTTGTTCTTCCTTCCGGTTAGTAAGGGACTCGGCTAGCTCCCACAGGCTAGCTTTCGTGACCGACAAAAAAACTCGACCTCCCCTGGCACTGGAGTCACTGGAGTTCCAGAAAAAAAAGCCGACTTTCGAAAAACTGGACGTTTTCGCGCCACTGGAGCTCGGCGACAGCAGCGAGAGGGTCCACGAGCACCAGAGCGCGATTCTTATCCAAACTGCGAGCAAGCCAAGCCTCGAGCGAGAGCCAACAGCCGACAGGGCACACGCGCTGCGCGGGCGCGGCAGTTCAAACTTAACACTCCTTACCCTACACATTGAAACCCCCCAGTGTTGGCAGACTGTTTCGGGAAAACATTAACAGATACCGTTGAGGGCGCCTGGAGGGCAAGCACCGACAGCTGGGCACCGAGCCATGCTCGGCCCATGAAGGCTTAAGAAGGCTTAAGTAGGCCGTAGGCTCAAGTGCCACTGGCTCAGAGTTGGAGGCTCAGCTTCCAGAAGGGTCTACGATCGAGGCGGCTATGATTCGCCAAGCTTAAGGGGCTTCCAAAGTGCAGATTGTTTCTGGCATCGTAGCACCGGTAGTCTATGTACAGCCTGGAGCCGAAAGCAAAGCAATCGTGAAGGAGCCCCGCGCACGTTCTCTAAGCGGCCCAAAGAGAACTGGCGGAGATGGTTCAACTGTGTGAGGCCCCGGATACCGTCAAAACCAATGCTAGGCAGCACACAAAAATTTGCAACCTTCAGGCTCCAGTAGCGGCCAGGGAAAACAGGTTGGAGCATAAAGATGTCTTTGAGACGCTTCCAAACGCCAACACCTACGTAGAAAGCAAAAACCTGCGCAGAGTCGAGGCAACAACCTACACGTGGACCAGGCTTTCGCATCGGCCACGGCCGTGTCAGAGCTTCCCATGAAACTCTCCCTGATTCCCTGCTGCTGCCCAATTTTGCCTCGCCTTTTCGGTAAGTTTATTCACGCGCCGTGAATTGGCTTCCTCGGCTTGACCTACCACGGGTGGGGAAGGGGCGAGACTATGGATCCTCCTTAAAACCCCCGCCTGAAAATTGTAAGGAGATTTTGGAGTCGAGACAGTGGCCGTGGGGTATCTCAGTGCGCGAGAGAGGCCCCAGAAAAGAAGCCCCAGAAAAGCTTGGTGTAGTACAGGCCGCATCATGAAAGCGGGCGGGTTGGGGGTGCAAAGCTTCGATTTTTAAGGGGGCTGGATGCCCCAGCGTTACAGGGCTTGCTGCACGAATTCCAGCGGGGATGATGCCACGGGGATTCGAGCCGGCTTTCTTAACGGAAATGAAAAATCTACACACAGCTCCCGAACCCAAGCGCTGAAAGATAGTTCCAAAAGTGACTACTTTGGAGCCTGCAGCACGGGAGCTCCGGGATCCTGAAATATTTGGGATTGTTTTGTCACTTGTCGCGGCTTAGAGTTTGGAGCTCACTGTTGTGGCCTGAAGCCTGGGGCACGGACCCTTTCCTCGCGCGGTATCTGCAGCAGTTGTGTTTCTTGTCCAGCAGTTGTCAGAAGGGCAATGAGCCACACGACTCGGAACCATACGGGAGCATACGCGTCATACGCGCTCCCGATTATCTCGTGATTCCGGGGAAACCGGGGAAACCCTTGGCATCTCCTGGAGCTCCCAGCTGTCGAACCCCTTCTGAAGGCCCCTTGATGCCCTTGATTTGAGGAGAAAACCCCTTCATACGGTGCCCCCCCCCCCCCGAGTCTGCTCTCAGCGCGGCGGTGGCATTCCCATCATTCCCATGCCTGGCGGGAAAAGAATGCGCAGGGAATGCAGGGAAGGCCCAAAGGGCCCAAAGGCTGTTTTGGAGGCTGGAGATTGGAGGTGGCTCAAACTGTACACACTACCGAGAAAAAATAAAAGTCCGAAAAGTGCAAAGTCAGGGCTGCTGAAGCGTCTTGCCTGGAGGTGGCATACCTTGGACCACGTCAGAGCGCTCAATGACCCAACGCGCTTCAATGAGCGTGAGCAGATTCGCGGTCGTCGAAGAAGTCATTCGAAATTTCAACAACTCGAGAATCAGCCATGAAAGTACTTGATTTCGAGGGTTTGGGGTCCTAATGACTTTTTCGACGTGCTCTGATAGAAATAAGCAACCCGGGTATGTATGTATATATATATATGACAAAGGAGAATGACTGCATGAGTCTGACCCCATAAGACGAAACAAAGCAAGAACCCAGAACACAGGGGTGTGACCACGTGAGTCTGACCACATAGAACGAAACAGAGCAGGAACCCAAGACACAAGAGTGTGACTGCGTGAGTCTGACCACATAGAACGAAACAAAGCAAGAACCCAGGCCACAGGAGTGTGACCGCATGAGTCTGACCCCATAAGACGAAACAAAGCAAGAACCCAGGACACAGGAGTGTGACCGCGCGAGTCTGACCACAGAAGACGAAACAAAGCAAGAACCCAGGACACAGGAGTGTGACCGCGCGAGTCTGACCCCATAAGACGAAACACAGCAAGAATTCCGGACACAGGAGTGTGACCGCGTGAGTTTGACGACATAAGACGAAACAAAGCAAGACCAGGACACAGGAGTGTGACCACGTGAGTCTGCCCACATAAGACGAAACAAAGCAAGAACCCAGGACACAGGAGTGTGACCGCATGAGCAAGGACCCAGGACACAGGAGTGTGACCGCATGAGTCTGACCCCATAGAACGAAACAAAGCAAGAACCCCGGACACAGGAGTGTGACCGCGTGAGTCTGACCCCATAAGACGAAACAAAGCAAGAACCCAGGACACAGGAGTGCGACCGTATGAGTCTGACGCCATAAGACGGAACAAAGCAAGAACCCAGGACACAGGAGTGTGACCGCGTGAGTCTGACCCCATAAGACGAAACAAAGCAACGACCCAGGACACAAGAGTTCTAACGCGTGAGTCTGTCCGCATAAGACGAAACAAAGCAAGAACCCAGGACAGGGGAGTGCGACCGCGTGAGTCTGACCACATAAGACGAAACAAAACAAGAACCCAGGACACAGGAATGTGACTACGTGAGTTTGCCCACATAAGACGAAACAAAGCAAGAACCCCGGACACAGAGTGTGACTGCGCGAGTCTGACCCCATAAGACGAAACACAGCAAGAATTCCGGACACAGGAGAGTGACCGCGTGAGTTTGACCCCATAAAACGAAACAAAGCAAGAACCCAGGACAAAGGAGTGTGACCGCATGAGCCTAGCCTGAACCCATAAGACGAAACAAAGCAAGAACCCAGGACACAGGAGTGTGACCGCATGAGTCTGACCACATAAGACGAAACAAAGCAAGAACCCAGGACACAGGAATGTGACCACGTGAGTCTGCCCACATAAGACGAAACAAAGCAAGAACCCAGGACACAGGAGTGTGACTGCGCGAGTCTGACACCACAAGACGAAACACAGCAAGAACCCCGGACACAGGAGAGTGACCGCGTGAGTCTGACCCCATAAGACGAAACAAAGCAAGAACCCCGGACACAGGAGAGTGACCGCGTGAGTCTGACCCCATAAGACGAAGCAAAGCAAGAACCCAGGACAAAGGAGTGTGACCGCATGAGCCTGACCCCATAAGACGAAACAAAGCAAGAACCCAGGACACAGGAGTGTGACCGCATGAGTCTGACCACATAGAACGAAACAAAGCAAGAACCCAGGACACAGGAGTGTTCCCGCTTAAGTCTGGCCCCATAAGACGAATCGAAGCAAGAACCCAGGACACAGGAGCGTGAAACCATGAGTCTGACCACAGAAGACGAAACAAATCAACAACCCAAAAGTCTCATATCCAGATAATGCATTAGGAGCATGTGGATTACTTGCTCCTTTACATTTCATACCTGAATGGTATTTCTTCAGAAAGGGATGCTGTGGACGCTTGTTTGTCTTGTAAAAAACAAGCGTCCAAAGTGTTCAAAAACAAAACAACCCCAATTATTAATATGATGAATAATGGGGGCCCTGCTCGTAAGAATAAGATTTGCCGGGGACCTCCTAAAACGAAATCGTCCGAGCAGGGCCCCCCATTATTCATGTTATCCGCCGACCTCCCTGGGCGAGGCGTCAGTGAAATCCCGAAGTGCTTTTGCTCTTTTCGCGAAGCTCATGAAAGGTTCGCAACGCGGTGTCTTGCTCACGAAACGTCCTCCCCGCCCCGCCCCTGGTCGAACAGTTTTCAGGTCCAATGCAGGCCCAACCCCCCCCCCCCGCTCTTCCCGCCCCCCGACCCGCACAGCAGCAGCGGACAACCAATGATGCTTACTTCCGGGCCCTGTCCCGGCCCGGCAAACTGAGCATCATGAGCTTATGATGCCCGTTCTTGGGCGGTAGCCCAAACAACGAAATCAAGAGAACATGAACAAACACGGTATCTGCGGCTACTTGGTTAAGAGCGCCCAGCGCACAATACCGAGCCCAGACGAGCATCAGCACGCTCGAACGAGTGAGAAACGAAGGGTCGAGGATGAGCCCCTCCGGAGCTAGTTTCTGACCCTAGAACCCAATTTGCAGTTCTCCCTTCAAAACGCCTGCAAAGGGAGGCTCTATCAAACCGACTTGAGGTTCCCAGACCCAAACCCAAACCCCTAAATCCCCTACATCTGAAACTCTCCCCTGCCTTCATCACGCATTGGCTAGATTGTTTCCGTCTTGAGCCAACTGCAAACGGGAGATATGGAATCCGGAGCCTTCAACCCCTGAACCCTTGGCCTGTTCCTGTTAAGTCGGGGACGGCGCAACCGCCTCCACCTCAACATTAATCCCTAAACCCCCATATTGAGGTCCTTAAGCCCGAAAACCCAGAGAAAAAAACACTAAAAAAAGACCGGAAACTTAAACACCCCAGGCCCTAACCCTGAAGCCCAAAACACAAAGCCCCAAACCCTACAGCCCTAAACAAGAATATCCATAACCCAAACCCCACAACCTCACCCGTACGTCTTTAAGCCCCAAAAGCCCACAACCCTACACTAAACACCCAAACCCCCACCCTCAAAGTCGTCAGAACCTCTAAAGCCCCTCAACTCGGAAGCCGCGCCCCGAAGCCCCACCACCAACCCTCCCTTCTTTGTGATTTCGAAATGCCGCGACTGAACTAGAGCCTGTGATTGGGGTTCAGGCGTTTAGAGGTCTAGGCACTAGGTCTGAGGCTTGCCTCAAAAAGACAAAAGTTCAGCTCATACCCCCAAACCTTCAGGCTGTGGCCCTGCTCTGTGTTCTTTTCACGTTGTTTGTTGCTCTCGTGCGTGCGTGCCGTGCGTGGGTGGGTGTGTGTGTGTGTAGCCCTAAACCCCAAACCCGGTACACCTGAAACCCTGAAGCCATGAACCCTAAACTGGCCCTACACCCTTTCAAGGCTTTGAAGGCTATTGAAGGTTATTGGGCCGC